TCCTTCCCTGCTCCCCCCCCCATTCCTAAAATGTGACCTAATTTCTGGATCCCTTGTTTCTATTACGGAGCTTCAAAAGTTAGTTTATTACGGCTAATTTTAAAGCTGAGCCTTAAAAGCATAAAATTAAGTAGTTTTGATTAATGGCTCTGCTAAAAAAAATCTTTAATTATTGATTTATTATTTCAGGGTTGTTAACGATCCGCTTCGGTGCGAAAGAGTTAAATGTCCATGGGTCGTAAAGCACCTCAAAAAAAAATGTTTACTCAAAAAATTTCAAATCCATGTTATTTTATTACAAAGAACACATTTAGAACTCAGACAAAGCATTTTTTTTAAATGCTTGCTTTTTGATGTACCCTAATATATATATGGGCCGATGAGAGTCAGAATAGTATAAGTCAGCGTTTCCGCAATTTGAGACTTTCAAGGTTATATTAGATTTACTGTAGAGAAAACCCTACAAACTGGAAAAAAAAACAGTTCTCAGTTTCTTTACAGAAACTTATACCTTACACCAGTTTCAAATTTAACATGATGCTTTGTAATCATAATTATTGGCTTATTCTTTTTTTTTTTTTTTTTTTTTGACTTACACCATGCTGATTTTCACCAGATCATATATCTATTATGGTGCATTAAAATGCTTTTTTTTGATGTATCCTAATATATAAAAAATTAAGGTCTTTAGATTAATTATTCAAATAGAGTAAAATTATTTTTTAATGTTATTTTTAATTTTTAGTAAGATCTAGTACGCTTCACCTACCGTAATAAAGCACTACCTACCGTAATGCAACAAAATGGACTTCCAGCTTAAGACATCTTAATCACTTTTAGTGTTAGTGCAAAAGACTAAGAAGATTGAATTTGCAAGTGTTTTGGTTAAGGCAGCAATTTTTTTTTGGGGGGAGGAGGGGGGAGCAGACAATTAATTTAAGGGACCGGATTAAAATTTTGCGGTTAGGATTATTTTTTATCGCTACGCGACTGCATCTACCGCGTCAAGGATTAAACAATGTTATACATAAAATACTACTATTTTTTAATAAAGTTTAAAATATTCAATGTTTTTACAACTATTTTACGTTTTTAACAACAAAAAAAAAGTATTAACTTTTAGCCATAAAATAAACATTAGATAAACTGTAAAAGATTTTTTTAAGAAAGCACTAAAAAATCATTCGCGGATAAAAAACAACTCAAAACTATAAAAATAAATATTTTTAAAAATATATTATTACTGAAATAAGTTAGTTTTGTATAAGACAATAACTAAAAAAATAAATTAAAAAAAAAAAACTTTAAAAATTTACTTATTTTTCCAAAATTTGTTAAGGTGACAAAAAAAATTCAAAGTACTTGAAATTGGACTCTCAACCCTTTTTCTCAAAAAACTGTGCAAAAAATTATCAAGAAATTTTTAAATCTAATATTGCTATGGTTGCTCAATGAGCAACCATAGAAATATTAGATTAAATTAATTCTCTGCTCCCCCTAAAATTGAGTGAAAGATTTGACGAATATTTAACAAAGAGACTGAAAATCATTATTTGATTAATATTTTTTGGAAAACCCCATAAACGGAGAATGAAAACAAATGTATTTTCATTATTTTTCTAAAACAAAGTTCTAACTATTTTATTCAAATTCAGTGTAATTTATATAATTTTAATCAATGTTATTTAGTTTGTTCACTTGTTTTTACTTTTTTATTGTTGAGTTATTTTCAGTAATGCATTCACAATTTTTCACAAAAACAGTAATGCATTGTGAATGCATTACTGTTTTTGTGAAATTTTCGCAATTGTGAAACTTTTGCACATCTGGAATTTGACGTCAACGATGTTCGATGACGTCGATGTTCGATGACGTTGATGTTCTTTCACGGTTTGTAAAACATATTTCAATTGAGTTTTATCTTCTGTGATGATTTTTGTGTCTCACACAAGTTTCACCCCTTTTGTGGCTGTGTCATTCACAGCTTTCTTAGAATTAGCAACTTTATGTGCTCCCTGGTGTGCGGTTACTGTGCTTTATGCACTTGGGCTTAAAATAGTTTCAAAACACAGTGCCACAATTTTGCAAAACCAAGGAACCAGAACGATCAGGAATTTTCAAACGATCAAGAGCTGAATAAAATAATGGAGTAATCACTTTGTTTCTGTTTCTCTACTATTTTTTAGTTTCAATTTTTGAAATATTTTTGCTGATGATGGAATAAAGTTGTCTAGTTTACTATCAGTACCCTGAAAGGAGTCTGATTTTGAAAAAACTGAGTTTGTGACTGTTGAACATGTTCCTGCTTTTCTTCTTTTTAGCTCTTTTGTTTCTCTTTTGTCGTTTTCTTTTTTCTGTTTAAAATTCGCTGTTCTTGTTTGTATAATTCACAACCAACTGAGCTCATACAGTCTTTTTCTCCTTCTCCTTGTAGTGTAAGAAACATCTTATCTTCTTCTATTGTGATTAATTTTAAAGCATCTTCATGAGCAATATCAAATAGTTTTTTGATTTCTTGAGAAAAATTTTGTTCATGAATTTATAGAAAATATAACATTATTTGTGTAACAGTTTTCACCTTCCTACCTTAAAAGAGTATCAATTTTGAAAAACAAACTATTAAATGCTCTAGTTCTTGAATATGCAACATATAGTTGACCATGAAATAAACACGGTTTTTTTAAATATACCATAACTGTATTAAATGTTTGACCTTGACTTTTATTAACTGTCATTGAATAAGCCAATCTGACAGGAAACTGACGACGTTTCAGAAAAAAAGTTAAATTAGAATCTGATGGAGCTAACTAAATTCGAGGAATAAATACCCGTTTACCGTGTCGTGGCACAGTGGTTAGAGCGCTTGCTTTAGAAGCAGGAAATCCAGGTTCGAAACGAGCTCTGGACATATTTTTGCGTCGCGGAAAGGAAGGAGGCGTGAACTTCCTGGTTAAATGCATATCGGCGGGGCTCTGTGACAAGACAGTTAGGTCTTCTTGGGGCACCTATATAACAAAAAAAAAAAAAAAAAAAAAAAAGTTCTTCTTACAAATGGATCTACATTGCATTGCTTATTCAAACTTCTTGTCCTAATATTGAATAAAAGCACATGTAATTGAACTTTATACACGGACATTTTTAAAGACAAGTTACATTGTTTTTGCTTGACAAAACATCCATGATACCTAAACATGCCTTAAATGCAATTGATAGGTTGTTAAAAGATATTTGCAACAACAACTTTCCGATTATAGGAAAATACATTCTTTTTGGTGGTGACTTTAGGCAAATACTGCCTGTTATGAAGAAAGCTTTTGCTGAGTTTCTGTCTTACGTCCATTATTCTTTTTCAGCTTTTCGTACTTCTCAATAAGTTTTTTAACATGTGTTATAACATGATAACATTGTTTTGTTTGAATTCTACTTCTTTGAAAAAAGTCTAGACCTTGATCTGTCATAAAACAGATCAAGGTCTTTGTGCCCTATAATCACAGCTGTAGTTTGACCAATAAACCTAACTTACACCAATACACATTACTTCTTTTTGACTTCTAGTCTCCATAACTCAACTTTTAAAATATATGTCTAATAATGTGTTTTAAAAATGTGTTTTCATTCAAGACAATGATTTCTTTTGTAATTTCAGGATGATGAATATTTTTAGCAGTGCAATACTAATACTATAACTCGTTTGAATGATAAAATATTATACTGGTGTTCTAAATGCCAGCCTACTAATTTTATTTTTAACAGCTTTTAACGGTTCAAAACAATCTCTAATAACGTTTCCATATAATTGATCTGCTCCAATTGCTTTGCTTTTTTTAATAGTTTGAATTTCAAACTCTTCAAACAATAATTTAGAAGACAAGTCATTTCAACCAATGCAATTATCCATTAGTACTAGAAAATAAGTAAATGAAGATTTTGTCTTTGAGATTTTTTTCTACAATGTTGGACCTATATCAATAAAAAAATTGTTTTATTCTTGAGCTATAGTTCTTGGTTCATATAAACTTTTGTTATCGACTCATTTGTGACAGAAAACCCGATCATGATTTTTGTTCCCAATAATTTCTTTGATTATGCCGCCATGTGCGGTTTGTGTCATTTGCCATGTGCGGTTTGTGTCATTTTTAAATGTATTAAGTAATTAGGAGTAATAATTTTTTTCAAGTTTTTTGTTGAACCCTTACAATTATAAAAAACAACATTTGAGAATTTTTCAATTAATATTCTAAGGGATTCTTTTAAGTTGTCTTCGACTTATGTCTGTCTGAAATAGCAACTGATAAGTTAAAAACGTTGATATTGCTTAACCAGGATATTTTTCTATAGGTTTTAGTAAAAAATAGTGTAAAATGTGACAGTAGAACAATTTAACCAGAGATTTTTACTTAAAGAATAAAAATAGTCATCGTTTTACGCATCCTAATTTAAACAAAGAGATTGAATTTGTGGCAAACAACTTTAGTTTTGGGTTTGAAATCCAACTTGAATTCACTCTGTTGGAAATAGCAAGTATTTAGCGACTTTATAGTTAAACTTGGTTAAGATTTTATTATTATTAACTAAATTATTTTACAAATATTTCTCGCAAAAAACTTTTTTTATTCTTAAATCTTTATTATTAAAGAAATTAATTGAACTTTAAATATAAAGATATTAAAAGTATCGATAGTTAGATTTTTAACAGTGGTTCCAAAATTAATTTATAACTTTTTTAAAACAAGTGTTGCATAAAAACAATTTTTTTAATATTTAGATCAGTAAAACATTGCAAAAAGCAGTAAAAAACAATTATAAAAAAGTTCTTTTTTAACAAAAAAATATTAAAGAAATGTATATCTAATATATATATATATATATATATATATATATATATATATATATATATATATATATATATATATATATATATATATATATATATATATATATATATATATATATATATATATATATATATATATATATATATATGATTAATTTTTTTATTAGAATATAGTTCATATCCGAACTTCCGCCACTCCATCGAGTTTATTTGTGTATGGTAAGAGTGCAGGGTAAACGTCTGTTTCAAGGAATTTCAAAACCTAATACATATATTTTAGAAAATTAGGAAGGAAAAAATTTTTAAAAATATTTTGCAATTAAAAACAACAGCTTTTATTACCTGTTCCGGAGCTCGTCCTATAAAAGTTTTAGGATCCATAAGCTGATCTAACACGTCATGAATTAATGAAAAATATTTTGATTTTTTTATCAATTCAACTAGATTATTATCACGTCCATGTTCTTTAACTTCTTTTGATGCTATCTGAGACAACACCCGTATTTCTTCGTGACACTCCTACAATAAAAACTTGGTAAAAAATAATAGCTCAAACCTTTTGTGAATAATAAATATAAAAAATATTTAAACTAATTTGGTAGATGTTAATTACTTGTCTGCTTCCTCCGGCTTTCACCATTGCCATTATAACATTTTCTGTTGCCATAAAAGGAAGTTCTTGAGCCACATGCCTCTCAATGACACCTTGATAAACCACTAAACCTTCACTTATATTCTGTAAAGTATTTAAAATGACGTCAGCGGTTAAGAAAGACTCTGGAATAGATATTCGCCTTAAAATTAAAAAACAAACATTTTGTTATTACAAAATAAAAGTTTAGCAAAAATTATTCTATCTTTAAAAAATATTCATTGTAAAATTTCTGTAACATTTAAAACTCCCAAATTTTAAATGAACTTCCTGATTTATTTGATTTATGAACAACCCTATGGCAACTTTTTTTTAAGAATTAAAGAATTAATATAATATTTGCACCTATTTGAGCTATCGTCTAAAGTTCTTTCAAGCCATTGTACTGAAGCTGTATTTTGAGCATCTGAAACAAGCGTCATAAGATGCCTGGCTAAACCACAACATCGTTCATTACGCATTGGATTTCGTTTATAAGCCATAGCACTTGAACCAACCTGATTTTTCTCAAATGGCTCTTCTATCTCTTTCATACTAGCAAGGATTCGCAAATCTGTGCACAGCTGTTACAAATAATAGTAATTATTATAATTTTATTTATTATTATATTTTATAATTATTATAATTTACTTTAATTATTATAACTTTATTAAACACAAAAAGTATAATAAACTATAACTATAAAAAAACCAACTTTGTGAACACTGGCTCCCAGACCCCCAAGAGCTGATAGAATGTTATAATCAATTTTTCTAGGGTATGTTTGGCCTGTAACAGAAAAGGTTTTGTCAAATCCAGCTAACTTAGTCACCAATCTCTCTAACTCTTCAACCTAAAGAAACCATTACATAAAAAAAAAATTTTCAACTTTACCAACTTAAAAAACTTTACCAAAAGAAATAAAGCTTTTAAGACCTTTTCATGGTTTCCATCAAACAAAGTCAAAAAGCTGGCCTGTGTCCCGGTTGTTCCTTTAACACTAAGAAATTTAAGGTTATTTCTTAAATTACTCAATGCATCTAAATCCATTAAAAGATCACTAATCCATAAAGTAGTTCGTTTACCTACAGTGGTCAGTTGAGCTGGCCTTGAAAAAAAAATTTGTTATATACATATACAATATACAAAACTTAGAATTCAAAAGAAAATATTAAACATCTTTAACTAAATAAATACATACTGTAAATGTGTAAAACCTAAACAGGGAAGGTCTTTGTACTTCATTGCAAACTTTGATAGTCTATCAATGCATCGAGCAAGCTTTCAAAAAAATTAATTTTCATAATATTTAAAAAAATGCGCTATTTAATCAAATTTTAAAAATGAAAAGTAATAAATTTGTTAAAAAAATTTAAAGCAACTAAGATATTTACCAAGAAAATAAAAAGCACAAAGAAAAAAAAAAATGCTAAAGAAAATAAAATGATCGACAAAAGATGACCAAGAAAATAAAATGCAGAGATCATCTAGGTCATATTTAAACAATCCGGAAAACACTTTGGAAAAAAATCTGGAATTTATTTCCTTCATATTTGTCTAAACTAAGCTTTAAACTGATTGCTTACTCAACTTTTTTTCTTTTTTTATGGGTAATGGACTAAAAAAGTATAAAAATAATTTCAAAAATATATATTTAAATTTGTATTTACAGAAAACATTTTGGAAATTCAAAAAAACTAAAAGTTGTAAGAAATATCTGGAATTCTTGATATACCTGGAAAAATATAATCTCTGAAAATGAACAAGCAAATAGGCTTAAATTTAGTAGATCATAAAAACTAAAGATGACAATCACTAAGAACCAAGAAAGATGACAATCACTAAGAACTAAGAAAGATGACAATCACAAAGAACTGAGAAAGATGACAATCACTAAGAATCAAGAAAGATGACAATGACTAAGAACTAAGAAAGGTGATAATAACTTAGGAAAAACAAAATGAATAAGCAAATGAATAATGATCAAGAAATACTGTTTATAGTAAAAATATAGTAAAGATATAGTTAATATAAAGATACAGTGGTTAAGTAAGACTACATATAGATTTATTATTTAGATGATGCAAATTGTGTCTTGTAACAAATGAACCAACAGGCAAGCTAAGTAACTAAGTGTGAAGCCATCATGGTTAATACATTTAAACTGTCTAACATTGAAAAATGTATTCCAACTACAATTAACTCAAACAAAAACTGTTTTTCAAAATTTCTTCTATGTTAATGAAACTAATGCTGTAACAGTTGTACCCAATCGTAAATTTTAGATTGTAATTTAGTTTTACCCAATTGTAAATTTTGCAAAATGCCTAATGCAAAATGAATTAAAACCATCTAGAGTGATATCACAAAATTTGAAAAACACATGCTCAACAAAATGTTCCAAAATTAAAATCTCCTAGAGTGGCATGAAAAAACTGGATTTACTAAATAATGGTCTCAATTTTACTTCAGCTTTTATAAAAAGGATATTTTTAATAATATTTCTCAATTTCTCAATACTAAACTTAGAAACAAGGTTTTTGAACCTCAAGTTAAAAGTGAACTTTCTCATTTAAGAAACAATAAGATATATAACTACACAGCGTGTATTTGTTTTGGTTTTTCCTTAGTCTTTTTAATATTTTGTATTTTTGTATTTGCAATGAAACAGTTGACAGAAGATTTGAAAAATATGTTAAAAGTTGTAGGGTGTATGAGTCAGGTTAACATGAAGATGAAGGGTTATAGTGTGGGGAAAAAAACTAGACAAATAAAAGTTTTTAGAGCACACAGGTACAATAAAAGAACGAGACTTTGCTGAATAATGAGTCAAGCAAGAACAAGTTTTGGTTGATGAAACTAAAAAAATAAACTTTTGGAGATGAAAGCTCCTTTGAGCAACAACAAGTAATTGTAAAAAAGAGAAAGAGATGCAACTTAACAACAATGGGAAAAAAGCTTAAGCTTGGCAGATAAAGCAGGCCCAACTACGTTTACAATACGTTTACAGCATCATTAAAAGAACTAGCACAAATATGACAACAGTTTTTTATACTGGAGTAAATAAGAGATTAGGTCTGATTAGATCTGGAATCAGGAGTAAGATGATAGGGAGCACAGAGAAGCAACCTTAGCAGATGTTAACTTTCCATGAGAGGTCAGTATTGAACAATAATCCAAGAAGACGTAAAGAAGAGGACTCAGTGAGAGGGTAACCATTCATCAATATAAGAATGTTGACAGTATTGCAATAGCTTTTTGCAGTAAATAGCTGAGTTTGGTTGGAGTTAAGATTTACAAGCCATTATAAGTCCCAATCTGTTACAGAAGTGAGATTAAAATATGTTACAAAAGATTGGCAATATGTTCTAAGCAATCAAAAATAGAAAATTTTGTGTTAAGACAGGAGCATAAAGTTGAGTCATCAGCAAATAGACCCACTTTAGATGTAAGGTTGTTAAAAAGATCATTAATATAAATAATATTGGAAATATGGAAGAGTGTAGGCCTTCGAGGATGACTTTAATAAAGTGGTTAGAAAAAAATGATTTGATAATCTCAGAAACTCTCCCAGATATATTATATGAAGCAAGCTTATGGAGAAGACTAGAATCCCAAACTTTATCAAAATCTTTAGATATATCAAGGGCAATAGCCCTAACCTCACCGCCTTCATCTGATGCATATTAAAATCTTTCAGTCACAGCAGTTAGCAAATCAGCCATAGAGTGAGAAGTTCGAAAACCATATTGATTGTCTGACAGTAAATTACTTGACTCATAATGGGATGTTAAAAAATTTGTTGATCAAAGACTCAAAAACCTTGCTAATAACAAACAGAAGACTGATCAGACGATAGTGGAAGGGGTCAGAATATTCACCAGAGTTTTTATAAATTAGAACCACAGATGATATTTTTCAGCCGACAGGAGCAGTAGGACAAGATTCAGTCAAGCACTTATTAAATAGTTTAGAGAAAATTGAAGAAAGTTCCGGAGAACACTTTTACAAGACTATGACAGGAATGCTGTCTGGACCACTAGCTGTAACCTCTTCAATTGGAATGGAAGGATAAGTATGACCATAAGATTCAAGAGTCAAATTAGAAAAAAAGATCTATGCAAATAGTTCAGCCTTATCCTTGGGAGAGGTAATAAGATCAGTCCCATGAATGACAGATTGAATGTCATTATGATTGATGACCTAACTTTGTTAAAGAGGAAGATTTTCCAAAAGTCAATATAATAATATTTCAAAATCATTTCAAAAGTCTCTGATGCGAGATTTATGAGCCCAACTTCTCTGATGCAAGATTTAGTGAACTGGGAATAATGAAGCTTAGCATCAGAATTTTTGCATTGAATTTTACATTTACAGTAAAATTTATCTTGTTGATTCACAAATAGTATAATTTATGGATTTGATAAGGGCATTAAAAATCTTTATAGTCTTTATTTTTATAAAAACAATCAATTTCCACAATATGTTATTGGCACCAAATTCAAATTACATTTTGATAAGAAAATTATAATCCAACTGCTACAAATATTTATGATAATCTTAATACAAGATAAACTTCCATTTGATTGACTTTACTCAAATTTCACTAAAACTATAATAGTACTGTAGAATTTGGCTAAAAAATAGTGAAACCTAGAAAAAATTTTTATAGAGACATTATATATCATTAGAAAGATAATTTTATCTGCTTTCTAATGGTGTACCTTGTCACTTTTTTGGAATTGAGCAAAAAAAATGGTGGATCAAAATGTAAATGTAGGTTTTTTCATTTTATTTAAAAAATTAACTAAATATAAAACAGTCTTCTTCGATATCATAGCTTCATTATTAAAAAAAGTTCAATTGCCATCATGTTATTGAATGACTGAACAAAAGGAATTAAATATTTCTAAAAGCTTAAGTATTCATTTTATTATAAAAATGAGCTTCTCTTTGAAGTCGTAGCTATTATTTAAAAATTACTTATATTGTGTTTGAAACAGCTGTGAATTAAATATTGAATTAGATATAAAAAAAACATTTTGTATAGTTGATTGTCTTTTTATTTAAAGATAAGATAATAATGGAAGATGAAATTGAAACTGATATATCAAACGGAATAATGTTATGTGTTAAATGCGGAGAAGGTGTAAGAATGCATGATCCTTTAAATCATGTAGGTTCAAAGTATTCTGATTCAAGCAGAAAAAACATCCCCTGACTGCAATTATAGAGCATGCTATGAAGCTTAATTTAGATACTTTAGTTGATAAGCTCAAACTGAACAAATAAACAAAAGCAAACACTTATATCCATTTATCATGTAGAAATTTTTTAAAAAATCGCTCTCGAAAAAGATCATTGAAAATCGAGACAGAGCGTATTACTAGAGCCAAAATGGAACTATTTGATTTCAAAACACAGTGTTTTTATTGTGGCAGTGATTGTATCTATGACAGAAAAAATCCAAATCGCAACAAATTTGAAGAAGTACGTACAAAAAAAGCAGCCATATATTCTTCCACCATCGAAATATGTCCCAATAGAGAAGATCAACTTGCTAAAACTATAGAAGCACGTTTAATTAGTGTGAATGATCTAGTAGCAGCAGAAGGCAGATACCACGTATCATGTAGAGCCAGCTTCGAGAACCCTTTACCAAAATATTTAACATCTGGACGTCCTACTTGCAGTAACAAAATGACATCATTCAATACTATATGTGAATCGTTAGAAAGGGACAGAGTTGTACACGTTGTCAGAATTTCATTCGAAAATGATGTCAATCAGTGATGACGTTTAAATTAAAGGAAGTGTACGGTGAGTCTTTACGCTTTGTCAAAAGAGAAGGCAGAAGCAATATAATTCTATTAAACAGTGTTAGACCATTTTATGTGAAAAATGGTACCAAGAAAAAAGCACTAATGTAAACGAGGAGAGAGAGCGTGTTGTTATAACAGCTGCAAAACTTTTGAAAAATGCCATAAAGAATCATGACCACAATTCAAACGTATATCCTTCCAAAGAGGACATCCTAAACATTGAAGGAACCCATATACCTCAATTATTAAAAGCATTTGTTAATGAACTAGTTCAGGCACCTTTAAAACAGGTTTCAATATCACAAGCCTTATTTTCTGGAACACGTCCCAGGTCTATTATGCCATTACAGTTTGGACTAAGCGTTGCTGTCGATAACCGTCTTTCATCAAAATGGCTGAACATACTGCTATCAAAATTAGGATTTGGTGTTAGTTATGACGAGGTATGTTTCATTTTATTAAGTATCTTTTATCAGAATCCCTAGAATCCGGACAATACCGATGTTTATGTAATTTTTTTAAGGTTACAAACAGAATGTTGTAAAGCATGATACTATCGACGAAATCATCTCTGGAGAGGGAACCTCATTTCTTCAATTTGTAGCTGACAACACAGACCATGACACTGCTACTGTTGATGGAAAAAATACACACCATGGACTTGGGTCAATTGCAATTGCAAATGGAAAATTCACAGACGTTTCGTTCAAAAGAAATAAAATTCCTAGAGATAAAAAGGAACTATGGTCAAATATCAAGTCAAACGATGGGATAATGATTAGGCAGTACTACATACCTGACATACCTTCATTAACAAAAACAATATTCAAACCAGTCATTCAGGTTTGTTATGCATATAACAATTTAAAAAAGTATTTACTTCTACCAAGTTTGAAAACTAATTGTTTTATTTAATTTTAGGAAAAAATTCAAACTTGTTTTATTGATCTTCTATGGAACATTGGCTACCTTTTCAAAAATCCATGCCCAAGTTGGTCTGGCTACATGAGTTCTGCAACAAATAATATTGTAAAACATAAATCTAACATTGCTATACTACCTGTGATTGATTTACACGCTACTAATTTGACAGCCCTATATTCACTACTTTGCTTCATCATTGATCACTCCAAAAAAGTGAATATTACAATGCCATCCATAACATTTGATCAGCAGCTTTCCATAAAAGCATACGAAATAGGATGTATGATGGATGTATGATGGAAGGAAGTGGTTTGAGAAGCGCTCTTGAAAGAGTCTCTGCCCCTTTAACAGTAGGACACATGCAATCAGGAAAAGCATTTTCACGTGCTATACGAGGCCATTTTTTATGTGCATCAGCAATAAATTCACTGATATTAAAGGATTTTTGGGACAACTTGAATGATAGTGAGCAGAAAAATATTTTAGAAATGTATGATTCAGAAGACCCTTGTGTTCAAGAAAATAATGATCTGGCGGTTAGATTGCTAAACTGGTTTACAGAGAAAAAAGGTTATCTTTCATTAAACTCACGAACATCATCTTTATGGTTGCATTATGTACAATACGTAACTGTGGTCCAAGAGTTTATTAGAGCAGAGAGAACAAGTAACTGGCCATCGCATATTTCTGCAACAAAGTGCATGCTCAATCTTTTTGCTGCAACAGGGCACAATAACTATGCAAAAACATGCAGGCTTTACCATCAGACCATTGATGCCTTACAAATAGAACACCCTCTAATTTACGCACAATACATGGCAGGTAATCACACTGTTAGAAGAACCGAAAAAAAATGGTCAGGGATATGGACTGATCTCGCAATTGAACAAACTCTGATGAAGTCACTGAAAGGTAGAGATGGAGTTATTGGTAAAGGCATGACTGAAAATGTGTTAAGGGTGTGGACGAAAACATTGCATCAATGTGCTGAAGTAAGTGATACGATGAGCACTCTAACATCTCGGCATAAATCTGTTGACAAACATAAAGAAATGTATCCTGGAAGAATGAAACGTGATAGTGATGACTTTAAAAAAATACAATCATGGTTTTTTGCTCATAACCCATTCATGGTCGAAGATCAACTTGTTAGTTTGGACTCTGGTTTAATGGATAATCAGAAAATGTGATCGATCAGAAGAGATAGGACCTGTGATCGATCAGAAGAGATAGGAGCATCAATACACAAAGAGCTAAATGGTAAAACTTACACAAATTACTCTTTCAAACAAAAAAATCAAATAACAACACTCCAGAGCTTATACTCCTGCGTATCTATTCAAGACGAAATTGTTACAATCGACCCATTAACACTTTTTCTAAGATTGATTGTTGTTGTTGAAAGAAAGCCAGAGAATGAAGTGGAGAGTTACTTTCAATATGAGTTATCACCATATCCAACATCCTTATTTAAAGGAGGTGTCATGAGATCCGCACAAAAGTCAACATTGAAAACATTCATACTCAATAATGAATCACCAGTAAAAGAACCTGTATCAACCAAGATTGCTGATGGGGGCGCATTATTGTGGTGCTGCAATTGGAAAAAAAATGAGTTATTTAGTGAAATTTATCAAAAATACATTAATTTTGCTCAACACTTACAGCTTGACACGATCATTTTTGATGGTTACCAGTCATCCACTGAAGATAGTATCCACCAAAAGCGATCTGGTAAGATATCACAAACAGTTGAAATCAATGATCTCAATCCATGTCCAGCAGAAAGAAGTATTTTCCTAAGTAATTACAAAAACAAAAATGATTTTGTCAGACTTTTAGCATTGAAGTTACAAAACAATGGTTTTAAAGTTATTTGTTGTCCCAGTGATGCAGACACAAGTATTGTTAAGCTAGCACTTGAGATTAACAACGTTGAGTCAGTCACAATTTATTCGGATGACACTGATATTTTATGTCTATTAACACATCATGTACATACTGGAGCACAACCTCAAGGCATTTTTTTAAAAACGTTGACACGAAATAAGGTTACAGATCAAAGAGTATGTTATAAAATTCAGAATGTTGTAAATACAAGTAATGATACTCTTTTAAATTATGTATTATTTGCACACGCATTTACTGGGTGTGACACAACATCAGCAATCCATAACTTCGGCAAAACCACAATTTTTACAAAGTTAAAAAATTCAAATGAATTGAAATCTACAGCAGATCTATTTTATCAGGAAAACATTTCTACAGATGATATTGGCAAGGGAGCTACTCGTTTTTTTGAGCTGCTTCATTCACCTTGTTTCAATCTACAACAGATCAGGAAACATAAACATGATATGGTGGCATCTGATCGTGCAAGTATTGATCCTGCTCTATTACCACCATCACCAAGAGCTGCATATTATCATGGACTCAGAGTTTATCACCAAATGAAAGTATGGAGAAATTTGAGTAACATTGATTTAGATCCATTAAGTTGGGGATGGGTAATACAAAATCAAATGTATGCACCAACTATGACAGATATAGAAGCATGTCCTCAAGATATTTTGAACATTATCAGATGTGGCTGTAAAGGTTCGTGTGGATATAAATGTACTTGTCGAAAAGCTGAATTAAACTGTACATCATCTTGTAAAGAGTGCCATGGCGTAACATGCACTAACAGTAATATTAATATTCCAGAAGAAGACATTGAAGAGAAAGAAAGACATTTTCTGGATGCTTTTGAGATATGAAAGATTATTTTTATATTAAAAATGTATTTATATATAATTTAAAAAATATATATGGTGTCAGATTATTTTGTATTTTCTTATAAATATTGGGTTATTTGAATGAGGATCGCTGTAAATCGGTTGGAGAGCGTCCTAGGAAACATTTTTTTCAAAATTTAAAAATTAGGCATAAAATGTAATATAAATTATAAATATATATAAAAGAAACATTTTTCCTCCTTGCCTAGGTAAATACCGGCGTCGCAATCCGTGTTTTTTACAAAAATTGCTCAGGTTAGCAGAAATCCTCTATTCACCATTTCATCTGCCATTTTTTTTGCTCAAATCAAAAAACTTGACAAGATACACCATTAAAAAGCTGACTAAATTATCTTTCTAATGATATATAATATGCCTCTATATAAATTTTTTCCATGTTAAACATAAATTCTACAGTACTATAACTAATAAAATTATTTTTAAAAATGTAAAGATATTATTAAATTTATATTCACAACTAGTAAATTACAAAACAGCTTTTGCGAAAAAAATCCAAAGTTGCTCAAATCTAATGTTGAATACAAATTTTCTTGTGCTAGATGTAATGCCAGTTATTGAAAAAACTAACAATAAAGATAAATGAGCAACTTACAAGTGCAAAACACAAACACTTTTTTTATCATTTTAATACAATAATAATAATTATTGTTATTTTTATTATTATCACATTATCTTTATTATTATTATTGGTGAAGTGGGGTATATTTTGTATTCATTAGAATTGTTAAAAGCAATTTATGCAGAGCCATAATTGACTGTTTAACAAATTGGAGTCGTGACAAATGCAATTAAAAAAAGCTGAACTTAAAAAGTTGTACTACAGTTAACACTTCCTTAAAATGTAATACTTACAGCATTGTTATCTTTTTTAAAGTTAAGTTACCTTAACTAGAAATATGGAGAGCTATCTATCCTTATATTATATTATTATATTATATTCTTATATTTTATTATAGCATAATGCACACATACAATTTCTTTGCTTACCTTTGGCAAAAGAATATCGAATGCATCCTTGATCATTATTAAATCCTAAAAAATAAAAAAAACTTTAACTTTTTTTTAGTTTCTTTTACTGCTGATTTTTAGAAGTTTTAAGGTTGAAGTCATTTTTACTTCCATTTTTAGGAGCTTTCCATTAGATTGACATGAGATAGTAGTGGTGATGTTGTTTAACTGTTGTCTGATCAGTCTTATTATTATTATTATTATTATTATTTTATTATTAGTCTATGAGTCTTTGATTAACAAATTTCTATTAACTTGTCTATAGTCTTGAGTCAATTAACTTGGTCTCTGACAATTAATATGGATTTTGATCCTTTTTGTTATATTTGTTAGTAATAGAAAGGTTTTATTGGGTATTAGATAAAGGCATTAAACTAAGGGCTCTTGACATATCAAAGGTTATATATAAAAAATACTATGATACTATCATCCTGCTCTTCAACATAAACTCAAGAATTTATTGTGCATTAGATAGAGGGGGCGAGGCTTTAGATAGAGGAGGCTAGGGCTCTTGATATACCTAAAGTATTTGATAAAGTTTTATTGCTCTTGATATATCAAAAGTTTTTGATAAAGTTTAGCATGCTTGTCCAGCAGGTGCATAGTAGTGGTGATGTTTTTAAAAACGTTAAAAAGAGAATTCGCTTGACGGTTTTCGATGATAAAATACCAAAATATATTGCGAGAACTTTAAATTCCTCAATAAAAACGTGGAATATAAAAGAACAGAGAACATTATCAGGCAAACTCTTGAAAAAAACATTCTAAAATAAATTCTTTTTCTTAATTACAAAATTTTACAACATTTTTTTTTTGTTTTTTTGTACTTTTACCTTGTAGAAATATTTACAGTAGGTGGTTAAGAAAAAAATAATAATAATAATAATTAATTAACAATAAATAAAAATTATAAAAATTTTAAAATTTTACATCAAGTCACAATTAACATAACTATGTTAAAATTCGAAGAAAATTGCCTCACTATTATTTTTTTAAACAAATTCACCCAACAAGGTAAAAGATTTGGTAGTTCAAAACAATTTAATGTTAGGATTAGGTTTCACTTTTTAACTTCACTGATACATATAATATGTTAACTTATATTAATATTAAAAGTGTTAAAACACCTTTGTGTAATGAAATAAGTTCTCTTTGCTTGTTAATATAGTATGCTTCCATTTAAGAAATGAAATTTTTGTAATTGTGTTGTATGTGCTAAAATTATCTGTATTATGAATGTGTTTGACCCATCAGTATTAAACTTGTTTTCCCAAAAAAACATTCAGAATGTTGTTTTGGGATGACACTTGTCACATTCTACAACAAGAAAATAAATAAAAACCATTTTATGCAAATATGTCAATTAAATATTAGCAAAAAAGGCTTCACTGGGATGGAAACTTAACATAATCAACTGACATCTAATGAAGTGACAGAATATAACAGAAAAGTTATAACAGACATATAATATTACAGAATATAACAGAAAAGTGGGATTATCTTGACAGATAATCCAACTTTTCTGTTATATTCTGTAATATTATATGTCAAATGAGAATAATTGGAGTATTGGAAACAAAATGAAAAATGCCCTAAGTAAGGGGTATCTTATTTTTAAATAAAAAGTTTTAAATTAAATTAAAATTTAAAAATAAATTGAAATTTTCAACTAAAAAAAACGTTTTGGTTCCTAAGAAAATGTTACTCATGTCAATCTACTGTACTGTAAAATTATATACAATCTACTATACTGTACTGATTGATGCAAAAATGACTATAACCTTATCTCTGAAAAGCTTATAGGAACATTTTATTGAAAGGAAAATACTAACAGCATTATCTCCAACATAACATGAAGTACTGCCTAAATGTATTATTGGTGCAGCCAATGGTGCAGCACATCCAAATGTATGAACATGAGCCATGACATCATGTCGACATAAGCTTTCTTCTTTAGCAGCCATTTCAAAATCAATGTTTTCAACATTTTCTTCCATTTGCTTGATCTGCTCATCTGAAATGTTTAAACCTAATATCTAAAAATAAAAAACAGAAAAAATAAGCCAAAATTTGTTTTATATATATATATATATATATATATATATATATATATATATATATATATATATATATATATATATATATATATATATATATATATATATATATATATATATATATATATATATATATATATATTTTTTTTTTTTTTTTTTTTTTTTTTAACATCTTCACTTCCAACAAGGCTGCAAGCAACCACTATAAGAGTTGGAAGTTACTGGAAGAGAAAAGACTAAATCTGTAGAGCAAGATAACGATTGACTGATGACTTAAAAGATTGCAAATTATATGAATCAGGAAAGCAAGATGAAGGAAGCGAATTCCAAAGAACTGCTGTTCGAGGAAAAAAACTAGAAGAATAAGAGTTTTTGAAGCACTTAGGAACAGTCACAGAAAAAGGATGAGACTTAATTGAATGGCGAGTAACACGAGAGTGAATTTTAGTAGATGGCACAAGGGACGCTAGCTCTTTAGAGCAGTGCCTATTATAGTATTTGTAGAAAAGAGAAAGAGAAGCAACATTACGACGATGTGACAAAGGTTGGAGATTGGCTGCCAGAGCAGGTCCAACTATGTTTACAATTCGTTTTTGCACCTTGTCTAAAAGAGAAAGAGCATCATTAGAAGATCCGCCCCAGATGTGGCAACAGTATTCCATACAGGGACGGATTTGAGATTTATAGAGATAGAGAATAGAATCTGGAGTAAGAAAGTGTCGAGCTCGATAAAGAGATGCAACCTTAGCAGATGCTAATTTTGCAATGGATTTGATATACGGTTTAAAAAAAAGATCAGAAGTAAGAGTTAATCCTAGAAGATGAATGGTAGATGACTCATCTAGTACATTACCATTCATAAATATAGGAAGATCTAAATTATTACGATAACGATTGGCCGAATAAAATTGAGTTTTATCTGAATTAAAGTTCACCAGCCACTGTGAGCCCCATGCTGTAGCAGAAGTGAGATCCTTTTCAAGCTCAGATACCCCCTCCAAGCAATCAGAGAGTGTAGGCTTCTTATCATGACAAGAGTAAATGGTAGTGTCGTCGGCGAATAATGCCACCTTAGATGTGAGAATATCTGGAAGATCATTAATGTAAATTAAAAAGAGTATAGGGCCAAGGATTGAACCTTGAGGAACCCCTGAAGTTACAAGATGTGAAGAAGAGTGTTGTCCATCGAGGACAACTTTTATACTACGATTGGAAAGAAAGGACTCAATAATCTTAAAGACGTTACCAGCTACACCATAAGAAGAAAGCTTATGGAGAAGACCAGCATGCCAAACTTTATCAAAAGCTTTAGAAATGTCAAGTGCGATAGCCTTAACCTCTCCACCTCTATCTAATGCACGGTAAAACCTATCGGTTATTACTGTTAGCACATCAGCTGTAGAACGAGAAGACCGAAATCCATATTGATGATCAGAAAGTAAGTTATTTGATTCAAGATGAGAGATTAAGTGTTTGTTGATTAAAGATTCAAAAACCTTGCTTATGACAGGAAGAAGACTAATGGGACGGTAGTTAGATGAATCAGATCGCTCTCCGGAATTTTTGAAAATAGGGATAACAGATGCTGCTTTCCAGCATGATGGAAAACAAGACTCTGATAAGCACTTGTTAAATAGTTTAGAGAGTATGGATGAAAGCTCAGGAGAACACCTCTGCAAGACTACAACAGGAATGTTGTCAGGACCACAAGCTGTTGAAGAGTCTAAGCAGGAAATTACTTTAGATACAGAAGCTGAAGTGATGCGAATGTCAAGCAAGGGATCAACCTGTTTGACGGCTATGTCAGGTAAAACGCAACTAGTGGAATCAAGAGATGATATTGATGAAAAGTTCTTAGCAAACAATTCAGCTTTGTCTTTAGGTGAGGTGACAAAGTCTGAACCATACAAGAGAGAAGGAATAACAGATTTGCCCTTATTATTGATACTGTTAAAGATTCTCCAGAAGTCTCGAGAGCCTAATTTTTGTGATGAGATACGAGATTTAATGACCTGGGAATAGCGAGCTTTGGCGTCAGACAAAACCTTTTTACAATGGTTTCTGGCGATAGTGAACAGATGTCTGTTTTCTGGAGAATTGTTTTGCTGATAGATATGGAAGTAATGGTTTCGATTAGAAATTGCTGCAGCGCAATGTGAGGAAAACCAAGGAGAAGAGTGAGGCTTGACCTGAAATCGTCGAGAGGGAATAAAAGATTCCATGCCAGCCTGAATCCACGAAGTTATGTAAGAAGCACATTTGTCAGCAGGAAGACGAAAGATTTCTACCCAAGGGCCATCACGAAGAAAATCACGGAAAGAGTCCCAGTCAGCTTTAAGGTAGTTGTATGTGGTACGATGATAGGGGGATTCTGATGAAGTAGAAGAATTTGATAATAGTTTTAGAGAGATCAAACCGTGATCAGAAGTACCTAAGGGTGAATGTGGAGAAATTGAGCACTGACTAGGATCCAAAACAAGACATAAGTCGAGTAGAGAAGGTAAATGATTGGGGTTGTCTGGAAAACGAGTTGGAAAGTTGACTATTTGAGTTAGAGATTGAGAAAGGCAAAAGTTGAGGGCCTTAACGCCAGCAGAGTCACTGAGAAATAACATCAAGAATAGTGCAATCTTGGGATGAAGGAGAGCGATATAGAACAAAGAGAAAGGCGATAGAGTGAAGTTGTGCTAAACGAAAGCACATAAATGAATAGTCTGTAGATTCAAACCTAGTTTCACGACAAATGGGTGAGTTCTTACGAATGTAGATGCCCAGACCAAACATGTGATTATTGGAGTCTTTACGAATTAAAGGAAGATAACCATCAACACTAAGATCACAAGATGGGACAGCCGAACTCAAATTAGTCTCACAAAGAGCAAGTAGGTCTGGTGAACTTTGCAAGAGATAAGACTCAACAGAAGAAAAGTTACTTCGAAGACCACGAATATTAGTAAATGATAGGTTTAGAGAACTTGGTGATGACGATGGTTTTTTGTGTTTTTTAGTTTTAGGTACTTTAGTCATTTTAAATTTATAAAGAACTTGACTCAAGTATAGATAGTACTCAGTACACTATTTAACAACTAAGCAATAGCCTCATTACTATTAATAAATCCTAAGCCGTAACAAAGGGCTCCAAATGTGGCCTCTGCAATGCACACCAAAAGTACAAACAGGGACACCATCCATGCGCAACATGGCACTGTTAGTACTCTGATATTTTTCGGCTGTTGATGGAATCAGCCTCTCTGAGAGCTACCACAGAGTTCGGGAAACCTGACGACCAGCCGGCCTCAGAACCATAAAACTGAGTTTTAGAGCTGTACCCTCATAAGGAGATAATAGAATGAGTTGCCCAGTCATAAAAATAGAGACACAAGCAATACCCACGCATTGAGTCAAGAAGATCCAGCGTTCAACATCCTAAACTGGAAACAATGTATTAAAAATACATCTGCGCCAACCTAATAGATGATATATATATATATATATATATATATATATATATATATATATATATATATATATATATATAAGTAAAAAACATATTTTCAATATATTTAAACAAAACAATCTTCTTATATCAACACAGTGCAACATGAAAATTGTAAATTATCTAGACATAACGCTAAATCACACTTTCCAACCGTATTGCGAACCCGGAAACTCTTTAAACTATATTCACGTTGATTCAAACCACCCACCCAGTATTTTAAAACAACTTCTGCGTTCTATCAAGTTAAGATTATCAGCAAATTCGTCAAATTTTTTTAAAATTCTACTGACATGTATAACAAAGCATTGTTATAATCAGGTTTCGTTCATAAGCTTTCTTATCATCGTAACTTACATTCAACTCATGCTAAACACTGTAAACGCAACATTATTTGGTTTAACCCCTCTTTCAGCAAAAACGTTAGCACAAATATAGGAAAAATTTTTTAACCCTTATCGATAAACACTTCTCTGTTAATCCAAGTTCCATAAGATTTTCAATGGAAACACAATAAAATTAAGTTACAGCTGCATGCCAAATATGAAATCTATTTTAAATGCACACAATCATCATATTTTAAACAACAAAATTACCACTAAAAGCAATTGCAACTACTTTGATAAACCTGCCCTTTGGCAAACAAATGCTTGGCAAATAACATCGTGTACCAAGCTAATTTAACCTCCAATGATCCTGCCCAAACTTCTATAAACAAATTTTGTATAGGTATAAGTGAAACACCTTTCAAAATTAGATACGCTAATCACATAAAATCATTTAATATTATCAGGTATAAAAATGACACTGAGTTATCAAAGTAGTTTTGGAAATTAAAGGAAGCTAATTTGAATACTATAGTTAAATGGAAAATAATTAAATAGTCCAATGCTTATAACCCTTCAAAAAAATCTTGTAATTTATGCTTAAATGAGAAATATGAAATTCTATTCTCTAGAAATCCAAACTTATTAAATAAAAGGAGTGAAATAATATCTAAGTGCAGGCATAAAACAAATTTCTTCTGGCTAATTTCATATATGTATATGTATAGGGTATATGGAATTACCCTATACATATTGTATATGTATAGGGTAATTCCATGTCAGTTGAGCCAGGCCATGTCACCATACATCTCAGATTTTGCTGATTTTTATACAGTTGAGAGTACTTAGTATAACAAAAAATCGTTGAAAATTTTAGCTTCTAGCTCCAAGAGGATCATGAAATATGATCATTTTACTTTTAACTGATCTTGGCCAGGCCCCTCTTGTCCCTTCAGAAATTTGACCTTTGTTTAAAGGTTCTAAGTCACATTAAAAATATTTGATCTTTTGACTTGAAAATTTGTACCTGGCTATTTTCAGGGTTGAAGAATCCAATGAAATAATCAGAAATGTAAAAAATATTTTTAAGTACCTGTAATATCAATTTAAATAAATTTAGGCAATTTTCTATATACCTGATTTTGGTGCTCAAGAAAGCCATGTGGCCTTGATGATATAAAAAAAAAATTTGTACACATTATTCTATGTTTAATGATCTTTCAGAAAACATAAGAATTTTGATCTGCAAGTAAATGGATTTCCATATATGGATAACGGAGCACAGGCTCCACTATTTTGTAGCGGAATCTTGCCATACATTTTTCACTACCTTTCAGACTAGCTGGAGCGATGAAAATTTTGGTATTTATGTAGTGTCAATAAACGTACATTTCAAAATTAAAAAAGGACCCAAGACACAAGGGGAGGGGGCTGGAGGTATGTGCCCCACTTCTTTGACTGGAATCTTGAGATGGATTTTCAGTATCTTCCAGACAAGCTGGAGCTTTGAAACTTTCAGCATTTGTGTAGTCCTGATGAACATGCGTTAAAATTGTTTCAGGCCAGACAACCAGAAGGTCCATGGGGCTGGGGTACTGGGGACCTTGCCCCACTTATTTTCTCAAAAAAAATTTTTTTTTTTAAACACATTTAAGATAACTTTGAAACTATTGTCTTCAAAAAATTTTTTTAGATTTTCATTTTTAACAACGTTAAACATATCTTTGATAACATTGCTTCACAAATTTTTGTGATTTATATTTGTTCCATTTGGTTTTTGATCATTCTATGTTCAATGATCTTTCTTAAAATGTTTTAAGAAAGTTAATGTTTATAAGAATTTTGATTTGCATGTATAAGATTAAAAACAGTCTAAAATAATGATTTTAACAGAATTTTATTTGTATAATTTAAAATTTTAATTAAAAAAGATAAATATATTTTAATGCTAAAATGGTTACATCAAGTTGTTTAATTAACTTCCAACAGAAAAAAAACATCCTGTCATAACATTAAATCAATAAAAAAGAAATTTATCACCTTTTTAAAATCATTATTTTATTTGATATTTGCTAATTCTAAAATGTTAACAGAAAGTTGTTTTATTAAATAAGGACTATTTAGAGTAAAAAAAAAAACATCCTGTCATAGTATAGAAATTTGAACCTATTTAAGTAATCATTTACATTTTTAACACTAACAAATTGATTATAACTAAACTTTTTGAAAAAAAAACTTTCTTTTTGTCAAAGTAAGATAAAAGAAATCAATCACTGTTTAGTTTTGGATTACCATGGTGATTGTTTAAGTTGCTTTCATTAAATTAATTACTATTGGTTTCTCATTTTTAAATTAATCTCAAAATGTTTTTAGTGTTACAGTAACAATGGATTCATGTGATTAGAAAGATTGATTTAAAGAAATTTGATTGCTATAGAGAAGATGCCAGAGAAGAATTTATTTGGAGATCTGGAATAACAGATGATATAATTTTAACAATCTGTCTTCATTATGAAAAGATTTTTGGTACAAACTTTGAAAGAAGCACACAAAATGATGTAATTTATTGGACAAGCATAAATCAAAAAGAAAAGCAATCAAAGGTAAATATTGTTGATAAAAAATTATTGTAAAATCTTTTTTGAATAATGAAAATAAAATCTACTAGTTTATAAAAATTTGAAAAAAAGCTGGTTATGCATTATTGAAATAATTTTCATCTTTATAGGTAATTACTAAAATCAAATTGTTCTTTTCATTTCAGGGAGTCATGTAATAACATTAGACATGGCAAAACAATTGAGAATTAATTTTCCAAATGTTGTGCCTGGATATCAACTTTGTCGGAGCTGCTTTGATGCTATAATCAGTAAATTTCATGAACAAGATAATTGTGAATTTGAGGAATTCATTTCAAATGCTACTTCTGAAAAGTCACAAGAGGCATTAAATGTTAGTTTGGAAACAATAGGTGTATCCCCCATAAAACTTCATGGCATTCCAAAGCATCAACGGTTATGTGTTGCTAAAAATAAAGTTATAAAAGCAATGTCAAAGTATGAAGAGCATATTTCAAAAGTTTATAATGTTAGGGAAGTAGAACTGAAACATAAAATTCCTCATACGAAAATTATTGACAAAAGTAAATGCGATGATCTAGACAAACTAACAGCAGAAATAAAAGAAAAGTTAATTGTTTCTGACCAAAAACCTAAAAATCAAGTTGTTAACAATTACACCCGAGTCTTGGTCAAGAAATTTTGCTGCAAGATATTTCAATGTCACTATATACCAAATTAAAGAAACACGGAAAATAAAGAAAATAAGTGGGATTTTTTCAGTTCCAGGCACTAACAAAGGAAAAACATTTTCAGAAATAACATTAAATAGAGTCAACAATATATACCATAATGAAGAATTTACTAGACAAATGCCTGGTAAAAAAGATTATGTAAGTAGTGGTAGAAAACAACACATCCAAAAGCGCCTTATTTTATGTAATCTTAAAGAACTTTATGTTTTTTTTAAAACTAAATATCCTCAAGAAGTTATTGGATTTTCTAAGTTTTGCAGTTTAAGACCAAAATGGTGTATAACTGTTGGAGCATCAGGCACTCATTCTGCTTGTGTATGTACCCTCCATCAAAATGCAATACTCTTGACCAATGCTATACAAATAAAATGTACTTACAAAGATCTGATGACAAAAGTTGTTTGTGATGTGACAAGTAACAAGTGCATGGTTCATCAATGTCCGAGCTGTCCAGGTATAGTTACTTTAAAGAAGTTTTTGGATGCACAACTAATTGGCAATGACAATGATGAAGAGGTGCATTCAATCAGTGGCAGAAAACAGACAGAACAACATTGATCTATCAGACAACAACAATTGAAGAATACAAATTGTGACTTTGCAGAAAACTTCACTTGTGATTCAAGATGAAACCCAAAGTTACCATTGGTGCAAAAGTCAATGCACATTGCACCCCGTTGCCCTCTATTTATTAAACAAAAATGACCAACTTGAAGAAAAATCATTTTGCTTTATGTCAAAAGATAATGAGCATGACACTGGTTTTGTGTATGAAGTTCAAACACAAATAGTTAACTATTTAAAAGAATATTATTCTAATATTTCAAAGATTATTTGTTTTTCTGATAGCTGCACAGTATAAAAACCACAAAAACCTTTACAATATCTGTCTCCATAAAAATGATTTTGATGGAGAGTGGACATTTTTTGCTACAAGTCATGGTAAGTTATCATTTGATGGTGTTGGTGGCGCTGTCAAACGATTAACTACAAATGCAAGTCTACAAAGGCCCATAAATGACCAGATAATGAATTGTAACAAAATGTTTGACTACTGTACTAACAATATTAAAGGGATTATTTTTTTCAAGATTGAAAAAGAAAAACTGACAGAATTGCACGCCACTTTGAAAACACGTTTTAAGCTAAGTAGAACAATTCCTGGAACTAGAAGCTATCATCAATTTAAACCAGAATCTATAGATACTATTAGCTTTAAACGAACAAGATGTTCATATAAAAGGCATTTTTTCTTTTTCTGGTATTCAAAGTTCTCAAAATGCTCAGCAAATTAACATTGATGCTTTGAAATTTGATGAATTCATTATGTGTAAATATGATGCGTTTGATTGGATTGGCATGATCAATGAAATTGATAATATAGAGCAAGATGTTATGGTAATGTTTATGCACCCGCATAATATAATATATAACCGCATAATATAATAATCCTTTTAATAAACTTTTCTGGCCATCTAGAGTAGATTAGTGTTGGGTTCCAATTACCAAAATAACTTGTATAATTGATACACCTGTAACAACAAACGGACGTTTGTATACTTTGACCATCGATGCATCTAAGCTAATCTTAACATTATCTTGATTCTAATTTCTTTTTTTTGTATTTTATTTTGTAAATAATGAAGTAAAACGAAACAAGTATAAAGCAATAAAATTTTTGAAGACAATAGTTTCAAAGTTATCTTAAATGTGTTTAAAAAAAAAAATTTTTTTTGAGAAAATAAGTGGGGCAAGGTCCCCAGTACCCCAGCCCCATGGACCTTCTGGTTGTCTGGCCTGAAACAATTTTAACGCATGTTCATCAGGACTACACAAATGCTGAAAGTTTCAAAGCTCCAGCTTGTCTGGAAGATACTGAAAATCTATCTCAAGATTCCAGTCAAAGAAGTGGAGCACATACCTCCAGCCCCCTCCCCTTGTGTCTTGGGTCCTTTTTTAATTTTGAAATGTACGTTTATTGACACTACATAAATACCAAAATTTTCATCGCTCCAGCTAGTCTGAAAGGTAGTGAAAAATGTATGGCAAGATTCCGCTACAAAATAGTGGAGCCTGTGCCCCGTTATCCATATATGGAAATCCATTTACTTGCAGATCAAAATTCTTATGTTTTCTGAAAGATCATTAAACATAGAATAATGTGTACAAATTTTTTTTTTATATCATCAAGGCCACATGGCTTTCTTGAGCACCAAAATCAGGTATATAGAAAATTGCCTAAATTTATTTAAATTGATATTACAGGTACTTAAAAATATTTTTTTACATTTCTGATTATTTCATTGGATTCTTCAACCCTGAAAATAGCCAGGTACAAATTTTCAAGTCAAAAGATCAAATATTTTTAATGTGACTTAGAACCTTTAAACAAAGGTCAAATTTCTGAGGGGACAAGAGGGGCCTGGCCAAGATCAGTTAAAAGTAAAATGATCATATTTCATGATCCTCTTGGAGCTAAAAGCTAAAATTTTCAATGATTTTTTGTTTTACTAAGCACTCTCAACTGCATAAAAATCAGCAAAATCTGAGATGTATGGTGACATTTTTGAAATTTTCTGGCTCAATTGACATGGAATTACCCTATAGTTTATTCTATTAATAAAAACGATACATGTTTCGGCTATAACTAGTCATCCAACTATCAACCAATAATAACCAAATTAGCTAAGATGTATGATCTTTAGAAGAAAATAATTTTAAAATTTTAAGTGAGGTAAAAATAATTTAACAGTTACTGAACAGCAATATTGTTTAGCAATTTAATTCATTCTTTTTTTAATGAATCTGATTTTTTTCAAAAAATGATATTATAAAATAAATAATAGTACAAGGACTTTTTGATTTGTGGTTGTGGCAAAATGTTTGTGTTAACTTTTATTTTTTTTTAAATTAGCCAAGATAAATACAATTTTATGTCAGATTGAAACTCAAACTTACTAATATTGATTAAACTTTTTAAATTGATTAAATTACTTATATTAAACATTCTATTGATTAAGTATTTGATAATAATAACTTTGTATGAAAATGGAAAAAAAACTATAAAAATTAGTGTAATGGTTAGTGAAATTAATGGTATTGCTGACAGAGAATAGTTTATTTTTTGCAGAGGTAAGCCTAAGAATGATATTTTGGAATTTACTTCTTTTTCCATAGTAAAAGTGTCTACAATTCATATAATAAAGAAAAAGATGAAAAAAAAGTTGTGCTGCATTTTCTGACTGGAAAGCAGCATTAACATATCATTTATAGAAAACTATTTTTACACCATTTTAATTTTTAATCCATTGGTTTCCAAAATGACCCATTAACAAATTGGGAAAAATAGGTGCTAGTAGAGAGCCCATGACTACATGTAGCCATGGCTACACTATCAATTTGATAATAAGTTTGTTTTTTAAAAAGAAGATATATTAACAAAATCAAATAGTTTTTTAAAATCCTTTTTAGTTATTTTAATGTTTGTTTTTTATTGAACATAATTGAACTAACTAAGATTTCAATGGTTTCTTGAAGCGAAACAATGGCATATAAGCTTGTCTCATCAAATAATATTAAATATGTTTGTGGTGATAGACTTGACTAATTTATTTAATGAAGGAAAATAAATTTTTAAATAAATTTTGTAATCTTATTCCAATAGAGTTCAAACCATTTGTGGTCTACAAATTTGTATGTGCAGAATGTAACTCCTGTTATAAAGAGGAAACTACTTGCCATTTAAAGACGTGGATTTCTGAACATTACAGGAGAACAAATAGTCTCATATCTACAAATATCTCCATGCTGACGAAAATTGCTTCATGCAATTATATGATAAGTGTTTTTCCATTTTAAATATAGCATTTAATAAGTTTGAGTTGAAATTTAAAGAAAGTATGTTTATAGAAAGGTGATTTCAAAGATATAGAAAGGTCGGTTTCAAAGATATAACTATTTAAACTTTGCCTTGAACCAACAAATACCCACCATATCAAAAAATGGTTTTAATCTTTGTTTCTGTTCTTTGCACAATGGAAAGCTGAAAATATGCACACTTACATATTTTGAGTTTTATGCAATAAAACATCTTAAAATGTTTAAATTGTAATTTTGACCTTTATCGCAATTTTAATAGGGCAAGTTTAATTACAAAAATGCAGATGTAGGTTGATTTGTTTTTTTGTACTTTTTTAGATGTTGTCCTGAACAGTTTAGTGAGAGTTGTTACAAAAAATTGGAGAGTGGTCATTTCCTAAACAGATTAAAAAAAATATGGTCAAATTTACTTAAATTTGTTACTTATAGAATAGTAATTATGAAAAAATCGAAGGAATAAAATGTGGTACTCATATAAATGTAGTAAAAAATGTTGTAAAGGGCTTAATACACAGGAGTTGATGTTTATTAACTTTTGGAAAATTTTCCCACCCGCCTTGAGCTTACTAAAACCCCCTCTATCCATTTATTAAATTTTACTAGTTATGAACAAAGACACTGTATGTAAATTTTCAGTAATTCTTTTACGTTGTTTTTGTTCTCACAAATTAGAAAATATAAACCCGTTTATAAAAATAAAAATAAAAATTTCTACCCTCCTTTTTATAAAGATTCCTCTACCTTGCCCCCCCCCCTTCCTTGCTTATTAGATCTGGACAAAAATTTGATTTGTCTATTGATTGAAAGAGTTTAACAAGTTTATTATGCTAAATTTTGAACGCAAGTGACCAGTATATTTTATAATCATTTCTCCTCCTTTAGTTACAACTTCCTCCACAACTCTAAATACAATTGAAAAAGATATCGCAAAATTAGAAACATCACCTCCTAAATTACAAATAACACTTACCAGTATTGCAGTATGTTGCCTAACTGGAAGTCCCTTGCCTATTGCTATGAGAACTGTTTTTTTTTAAATACTTTTAGGTAAAAAAACAGAGTTTGATTGTTTATATCTGCTTCATATTCATAGCTAGAATGTAATAATCATTCTGACTATAAATTAACTCTCAGGTTCAATTTTATAAACAATTAAATGCTAAATTAAATAAAATAATCAATGCAAAGACTTAGGGTTGCTAAAATAGACATTTTCACAAGAAATTGCTCAGAATGATTAGAACCTGATGAACAAATAGATTGTATCATTATCACTTTCTTTATATACTGTGAATCTTTTTTATTACTTTTATTAATAAAGTGGTTTAAAAAAGTTTTTTATGTTTATTAAAATACTTACATATTCTGTGCTTAAAAAAGTTATGGAATTATATATATATATACATGTATACATGTATACATATATATATATATATATATATATATATATATATATATATATATATATATATATATATATATATATATATATATATATATATATATATATATATATATATGTATATATATATATATATGTATATATATATATATGTATATATATATATATATATATTAGGGCCCTGCAAAGCTTCGAAATTTCGAATTGATTCGAATTAAAAATATGATTTGAGATACGATTCGAAAATTTTCAAAAATCCCTGTTTGTTTTTGTTGTGGGTATTTTAGATATTCTGTGATTCAGCGCTATCAAAATAACGTTACTTATACTTAAATACCTTTTTAATCAGTCATTAAAAAGGTTAACCAGGGCAAGAAGCATCAATAAAAAGATTATACAATTGTTTTAATTTATTTTGAAATATATATTATTAAATAAAAAATGCTTAAATTTAGACTTCTAAATGTTGATTTGAAACATGATTCGAATCACAAATCAAGACCTGCTTTGATTCCAGATTTGATTTAAAACAAAAACTGGTGATTCGCAGGTCCCTAATATATATATATATATATATATATATATATATATATATATATATATATATATATATATATATATATATATATATATATATATATATATATATATATATATATGTATATATATATACATATGTATATATATACATATTTATATATATACATATGTATATATATATACATATGTATATATATACATATGTATATATATATACATATGTATATATATATATATACATATGTATATATATATATATATATATGTATATCTATATATATATATATATATATATATATATATATATATATATATATATATATATATATATATATATATACATATGTATATATATATACATATGTATATATATATACATATGTATATATATATACATATGTATATATATATACATATGTATATATATACATATGTACATATATACATATGTATATATATATATACATATGTATATATGTATACATATGCATATATATATATACATATGTATATATATATATATATACATATATATATATACATATATATATATATATATATATATATATATATATAT